GGGCAGGCAGCTTCTGGGGCTTCACCAGGCGGCAGGTGATGCGGGTCGGCGCGGCGCAGGCGCGGGGTGGGATGACCACGCGCAGGCCATGGTGCCGGCTGCCCCGCATGGAGCCACCACGGGCATCCACCATGAAGCTCACCAGGAACCTGGCTCGGGGAGAGGTGTGGGCAGGTGGGCACTTTGCAGCTGACTCATGCACAGAAGAGTGTGCATGTACTGCACGGGCTGGGCACTCACCCTGTGTGCACGGGGCTGGCCACTGGGCTGATGTTATCTGAGGTCTCAGTGGCAGGACTGCTAGGGATCAGTGAGTCCTCGTCAAACTCCTTGGAGGGCTGTGTAAGGCAGAGAAGAGCATCCATGAGCACACGGTCTAATCTGCGGGTGCTGAGCCTGCCCACTTCTCCACAAGCTCATAACCCACCCTGGACAGTCCTGTAATCCCTGGGTCCATCCCCACCACCCACTCCATGTTTTGGGTTGGTGGTGATGGGGGCACTTCCCAGGCAGGGAATCTGGGGGGGGGCTGTGTCTCATGCTCACCTCCTGTGGGGACACCGAGGGTGCATGCAGCAGGCTGACTTGCTCAGGTTCTGTCTCCACAGGTCCTACCTGCTCAGTCTCCTCTGCTCTGGTCACCACAGTCTCAGGTGGGACACAGGGGACTTGCAGGACAGCTGGAGACTCCACCCTGGCAGAAGAGGGCAGTGAGAGCCACTGAAGTGGCAGGCCTGGGCCCCTCAGCCCCCAGCCATCCCCAGGGAATCCTAGGGCCACCGAACAAAGGCAAACTCAGCAGCAGCCCCATGCACTGATGCAGGAAAAAACTAGCTTTGCCTGCTATGCTAGACAGTGGGGACTGCGAACCATTCCTTGCCCAGGGGTGTCCCTGCCCTTCTGGCATCCCAGCCCAACATCAGACTAGCCCTGTGCCCTGTACCCACTCCCTCCCCACCGTCCAGTGCCTATTACATTTGCTCCAGTGTCGTTGTGGTCACAAACTCCAGCATCTCCCTCTTGCTCTCCTGATGTCTGGGATCGGGTGTCCTGGACTTTGGTGCGATCAGCTCCTCCTCTGAAACCAAGAGCTGGCTCAGCTTGCAGAGAGGCAGGACCAGGTAGCACAGACATCCAGCCCTTGTCTCCATCCCACCTCAGGGCTGGAGCAAGGGCCAGTCTCTGCTCTCACTGCTGGTCACACACACATCGGAAGAATGTCATAACACTGCTGAATGCATCTATGCACCCCTCTTGGAGGCACATGCCCAGCCAGGACTGCCTGATGGCCCAATTAACACCTGCTAAGGAGCTCACCAGGGTATGGCTCTTGCCAATGCCCTACAGGAAGGAGTCCTATACCTTCCAAAGCCCCAGTGTTGAAGGGGGAACTGTAGCAGCACGGAGACCTTCGAGCACTCAGGTTAGTTCCTGCCCTGGCCATGATGGCACAGGGTGGTTTTAGAGGGGCACTGGAGTTTGTCACAGAACCAGGCTCTTCTGCCCACCAGGGACAGGGCCTGGGGTTGACAGGGAGCCAGGGCTGCCCCGCAGTGGGGGACAGTCCCTTTCATGCAGTCACACCACAGCAAGCAGCACAGACACAGACGGGCAGGGCGATGGTGGGGCCTGCACCAGCCCAGCAGCAGGGCTTAGCAGATGGAGGTGGCGTGCGGATGGTTAGTGGCCATGGGGTGAAATGGGCCATCGAGCTGGGCAGGGGGACACATTTCATACCCATTACTGTGACATGAGCAGTGCCTGCAAAGTAAGAAGAGGCAAAAGTGAGGTCTTGGTGGGAGGGAGCAGGAGTGGACCAGCTGCAGCTGGGCTGAGAGCTGGTACCACCTGGTGGAGCAGGGCACAGTGGGGACTTTGCATGCCCAAGGGCTCCTGCACATTGGCTCCAGGCACATCCTTCCTGCGTGGTGCAGGGAAGCACCTGGGCCAGGAGGTACCACCCCAGGAGTCTGCTGGTCTCCCTTCATCCTCTCCGCAAGACCATGGTGGAGCCACACAGCTTCCCGAGCCCAGCCAGCAGGACGCCCAGTGCCTGTCCTAGGGCTGCTGCCTGCCACCCTGGCCCAGCCAGCAGATCTCTGGGGTGGTGTGACCCAGCTCCAGCCCCTCACCTTCATCCTCTGACACATCCAGAATCTCGTCTACCGTCTCCGGGAAGCTCATGCGGTGCTTGTCACCGACTGCCTGTAGGTGCAGAGCAGAGTCAGGTGAGACCAGCCCTTGGCTGAGCAGCCACCAGCAGCCCCCTCCTCATGCCTGGGCTGGGGACCCAACCACCAGTGCTGGCCCTGCCTGGGCCTGGCTGACATTTGCCTGGCTGGTCCCAGTCCCAGCCCTCCTCCACAGGGTTCTGGTCCCAGTCCCCAGGGTCTCACCGGGATGTCAGTTTCCTCTGTGACGATCTTGAGCACATCTGTGACAGAAATGTAGCCGAGCCGCTTTGCAATGGCCAGGGGAGTGGTGCCATTCTGTGCAAGGCAGAAGCACTGGGTGAGCAGCAGCCACAAGGAAGCCTGAGCAGACGCCCAAGCTTGCCACAGGGAGAGGAGGTGAGGGTGAGCACCATACTCACTGTGCTGATCTCATTGGGAGAGGCCCCATGCTTCAGCAGCAGTGTCACCACGTCCGTGTGGCCCTGCTGTGCTGCCTGGTGCAGAGGGGTGTAGCCCAGCTGCAGAGGAGGGACACAGGGTGCTGCCATCAGTTCTGGGTATCTGATGCCCCAGAAATGCCCCTGGGCCTCATACTGTGTTTCATGCCTGAAGCATGAGGGCAGCTCCCTCTCTCTCGGGGTAATCAAAGGGCTCTGCAGAACCCAGCACTTGACCAGGGATGGAGGCCAAGCCTTCCCCATCAACCTGCATGCTATTGCCTAGGGCAGAAGGGTCCTTGGAGCGCAGAACATCTCTGTACCTTAGTCTTGGCATTGACATCAGCCTGGTGTTGCAGCAAAAACTTTGCCAACTTGATGTTCCCATAGTGGCTGGCCACATGTAGTGGGGTATAGCCCATCTGAAAGACAAGATCAGGTCTCAGGCTGCCCTCAACAGTGTTTCCTGCCCTTTCAGCTTGGGTATGCTCTTCCCATGGGCAAGTCCCCATGGATGAAGGTGGGGTAAATGTGCAGGTGCTGCCTGAGAGCTCAGGACCAGAACAGAAGGCACACTCCAGACCACACCACATTATTCCCTGGGGGTAGAGGGGTGAGCTGTAGGAGCAGGCAAGAGTCATCCCTCCAGGGAGGTGGGAGGAAGAGGAGTTCCCAGGGTACAGACATGATACTAAGACTGCCTGTGAGGGGAAGAGTCTTGCACAAAGTAAAACAAAAGAAATGCTCCTCCTGGAACAGGCCTAGAGGTAATTCCCCCACTTTTTTCACCACAGCCAGGGTCAATGCAGGACTTTACCCTGGTTGTTGCATCCACTGTGACTCCATGTTTCACCAGAACATCAGCAACCAGCACATGTCCCTCCTGGGCCACGAGATGGAGAGGAGTCAGGCCACTCTGCAAACAGAAGAGGTCTCATCATGGTGGCAATGCCATCTCTGCAGCTCTGCCAGCACGAACTCTAAGTGTGGTCTCCACCCTGGCAAACTGACCTACATTGTGCATTTCAGCCATCACTGTCTGACTGCAGAGAGGCACCAGGGCCTGGACTAACCCCCAATCCTACTGCCTGCTGGGTGTTTGCCTCTAGCCTGGCAGGATTAACAGGGACAACTTACCTTGTTGCCCAGGTCGCCGTTGGCTTGTTTGGAGAAGAGCAGTGTCACCATGTCCGCATGCCCCTCCTGGGAAGCCAGGTGTAGGGGGGTGACTCCCTGCACAGACTCTGCATTCGCAGAAGCCCCGTACTGCAGCAAACTGCTGGCCACCTCCATCTGGTTCTGCTTGGCTGCAATGTGCAGGGGGGTGTACCCGTTCTGCAGAGAGAGAGGCTCATTGCAGTCCTCAGCCCCTGACGAGCAAACCAGGAGGGACAGAAGGTGCCACCTTGCCTCTCCAGGCCAGGCCTGCCCTTCCTAGTTGCCTCCAGAGCTCAGGGGTGAAGACTCAAACTTAAACCATCTCCCTGACAGCAACTAGCCCTGATTCTGAGGCCAAATCTCAGCCAAATCACAACAGGGGTTTCAAAGACCTCCTGGTTCACGTTTGACTGGCATCGCTTCTCCTGGAGTTTTCCACACACAAATTTCTACAGCAGCATTCAGGCACCTGGAGCTGTGCAAGGCCAGGGCAGGCAAACACCTCCAGAACATGTCTGGCTGAGATGTGGAGCAGAACTCAGAACATGCAGGATGAGTATTTCAGGCAGGGACTGCAGAGCAGCTGGCAGCTGGGGGACATGGGGGGTTGGCACCGGTACCGGCGGCAGCAGCAGCTTCAGCAAACCAGGTGGAACCCGAGGCTGCTGGTCTGCGCTTTGGGGACATGCTCCCCACGCTCAGGCAGAGCAAGGTGACTCTCATGAGCTTGTGGGTTTTCTGACTCTCTGCCTCACAGCTGCATGCAAACACTCGTGTGCTTTCCCAAACTGTCAGACCACAGCACTGCTCCGCAGGGCTTGCCATGGAAACATGTCCCCAAGCAACAGCCACAAGGCTGCCAGTAGGGACTGTCCCTGACACTGCCTGTCTGCTGGTGCAAGAGACAGGCATGGAGTGTGGCTGGTGGTGACAGGTCCCTCATACACCCCTGAGTGTCAGGGCTGTGGGGCGATGCTGGCCCCAGGCTGGCATGCCCTGGACACACCTCACATCCCCACTCTCCCATGGACACTCAGTCCAGCCTTACCCAGGCTGAGCTGTGTGGGGAGCTCCCCTTGGGAAGCAGCAGCTTGACGATCTCCAGGTTGTTGTGGTGCACAGCCACATGTAGTGGGGTCAGGCCGTTCTGCAGAGGAGAGAGGGCATGGATAGGTGAGGCAGGGATTCTCCTCATACCACAACCCTCCTCCGACTGCCACACGAGCAGCACTCACCTTCCCTGCTGCATTGGGATGAGCATCATGAGCCAGCAACAGCTCTGCCACATCCACCTTCCCATACTTGGCCGCAACGTGGAGAGGGGTAAATCCTTTCTGAGGACAAAGGCAGTCCATCACGGGGTGTTCAGGGATGAGGAGGAGAGCACTGGCACGTGCTGTAGCACAGGAGGAGGCTGCCCCTCCTGTGATAGGGATACTGTGCCACCAGCCTGCCCAGCCAGGTCACGCCTTCAGGGGCAGTGGCACAGCAGCCTACCTTGGTCATGCAGGTCTGCAGGGCCCCCTTCTCCAGCAGGGCCAGGGCTGTGTCCACATGTCCCTCTCTGGCGGTGATGTGCAGGGGTGTGTGCCCTGCTGTTGTGGCCAGGTTGGGGTTGGCATTGTTCTCCAGCAGCAGTTTGACCATGCCAGTGTGGCCGATGCGTGCTGCACAGTGCAGAGGAGTCTGGTCATCCTGCAAGGGAGGCAGAGAAGCTATTTTAAGCAGATCTGGACCAGTTCCTTGCTCACCATGCCAAAGGGCGCTGCTCCTGCTGTTACACAGCCCCTGACAGGCTAGGCTCTGGGCAGGTGAGAGAGAAGAAAGCAGCACCAACTGTTACCAGAGAAGCACTATGACACAGGTTCTCTGCACCTACCTTGGCCTTGGCGTTGGCTTTGGCTTTGTTCTGCAGCAGATACTTTGCCACATCCGTGTGCCCAGCTCTGGCTGCCATGTGCAGGGGTGTCTCCACTTTCTGCACCAAGGAAAGGATGAAGAGGTGACGGGTAGGAGGGGATATGCTTTCCTGCAGTCACTCCTCTACTCTGAGCACAGGAGTGCAGTGCCCACCACCTTTTCTAGCCCCTACCGCATTCTCCTGCCAGCAAGAAGCAAGGGGCACCAAGCATTGCTCAGGAGAGCAGAAAGAGCAGGGCTTGGGCAATCCCCACCTCCTGCCATGTTGAGTTCCCCCAGCCCTAGCCAGAGTGAGACTCACCACATTGGACACATTAGGAGAGGCTCCACGCTGCAGCAGAGTCTTGACGATGGGGAGGTGCCCCATGAAGGCAGCCACATGCAGGGGAGTCAGGCCAGACTGTAAAGAGAAAGGGGTCTGGAGCCAAGACTGGGGCTGGTGGCCTGGCCAACATCTCTTCCTGCCCCTTGCTCTCCCTCCCCAATGCACAGAGGCAAACTCTGGGTCCCCAGCCTGGCCTGAGCAGCCTGGCAGGTGAGCTGAGGGCAACATGGAAAGCTGCTGCCTCCCCTGCAGTACCCTTGCCCTGCAGGGAGGAGGCTGTGGGGAGATGCTGCCAGGCTCAACAGGCCCTGAGCTGCCAAGAGCTCTAAACAATCAGAAAGGAGGTCCCTGGTGCCTGGGCTGCAGCTCACCCACCTCTGTGACAGCATCGATGGAGGCACCTGTCTTCAGCAGCAGGTCCATCACCCGGATGTGGTTCTTCTTGCAGGCAATATGGAGGGGTGTGAAGCCATTCTGGGGATGGACAAAATGGACAGTCATTTGCCAGAACACTGTCCCTCTCCCCTCCCCAGCCTTGCTTGCTCCTCCTCACTCACGAGGGCTCGGGAGTTGGGCTTGGCCCCCTTCTCCACCAGCAGCTTGGCCACGCGGTGGTGCCCACAGTGTGCGGCCACGTGCAGCGGTGTGAGGTGGTCCAGGGTGATGTCGTCGATCTCGGCGCTGTACTGCAGGAGCAGCCGCACGCAGTCCAGGTGGTCGCCCTGCGCTGCCATGTGGATCGGCGACAAGCCATTCTGCAACCACGGAGCAGGGCCTCAGGGCTGGGCAAGGAGAGCACTGGGCAGCCTGCCCAGCCCCTGCCCCGCTCCCTGGCCACAGTGCTGGGACAGAAGAGACGGCATGTTCCCTAGGGCTTCACTAGAGAAGAGCCCCAAAGTCCCTCACCAACACTCACAGGGGAGGAATGCAGATGGCAGGGTCTGAAGAGCTGCTGCCATGGGGCAGGCTGTCCCCAGGCCATCTGCTTCTCAGGGCTGGTCCCTTTGAAGCATGCAGCCCTCAGGCAAAGGGCTCCAGCTAGGGTCATAGAGGAGGTCAGGAAGCTCCTTGCCCCTTGACAGGTCAAAAACTCAGCCGCAGCCCCAGTCCAGCCACGGATGGCATCCAGCAACTGTGCACAGCCTGTTACCCCCCAGTGCTGCCCTGGGACCTGGCACCAAGCACAGCCCCACCAAGTCCCATGGGTACCTTGGTTTTGGCTTGAATGGGAGCCCCGTGGTCCAGCAGGATCTCTGCAATTCGCACGTGCCCATTGCGAGCTGCACAGTGCAGAGGGGTCAGCTCATCCTGGCAAGAGAGAAGGGTTCACAGGCTCAGCGTGGGCAAGGAAGGGCCAGGCTCCCTTCAGGCAGGACAGGAACAGGGATATTGGACTCGTTTGCAAAAGAAGGTGAAATTGGGCCTGCCTTCAGCCCCCAGGGCACACCACTGTGGCCATGCAGCCTCCTCTCATCTCTACATGCACCAGCAAAACACCTGGTCCATCTCCTTACTGCATCAGGAACCTTCCCTCATACCCCAGTGAGATGTTCTCAGAGTATGCACCAGGCAGTGGGAGGGGACAGCCCGTGGACTTGCTGGTGATTCAGAAATGGTCTCACCTTGGTCCTTGTCTCTATCTGGGCACCACGGTCCAGCAGCAGCCGTACCATGATGATGTTTCCCCGGCGGGAGGCAATGTGCAGAGGTGTGATCCCATTCTGGCAGAAGGAACAGCAGACTGTTAAGAGGGAGAAGTCCCCTCTCTTTCCCCCATGGGGCTGCAAGGAGGCATGGGTCAAGCAAAGGAGACAGGGCAGGGGAGAGCTAAATCCCTGCTGGAGATAGTGCAGGGAAACAGCTTATTTTGCAAGGCTGGGAGAGAGGAAGAGCACCTGCTCCTGTCTGCAGCTAAAGGCTGTGGGCAGAAGCTATACAGAACTCACAGGCAAGTGCCAGCTCATGGATTTGACTGTGCCCATGGGACCAGAAGAGGCACACCAACTGCCTATAAGCTCTGCCCTGCAGCAACAGCAATAGCTTTCCCTCAGCCTGGACAAAAGGTTCCAAGAGCTTCCAGGTATGCCTGGCTGCATCTGTCAGAGGGGAGATGTAGTAGAAAATGCCCACAATGGATATTAATGGCAACTGCCCAGACAAGCATCAGTGTGCCACCTTCTGCATGGTCCCACCTCACGAGCACACCTTGGCAGCTGCTACTGCACCAACACGGAAAGGAGTAACAGCATCGTCCTCTGCTGCTGGAGCAGTAACAGCCCAGCAACCTCCCCAGTTGGCACTCACCTGAGGTGTGAAGTTGACACTGGCTCCACGATTCAGCAGTAATTGGGCCACACTGAGATTCTCGTAGTGGGCTGCAATGTGCAAGGGAGTAAATCCAGTCTAGGGGAAAGAAGGAGGGATCAGCCCAGCCAGACACATGCTCCCTGCCAAAAGGATGGATAAATACAGCATACCAAGCTGCTGTTCTCCCTGGGGATGTGGGAAAGCTCCCAGAAATGGGATAGGAAAGCAACACACCTTGGAGAGGACATCAGCATTGGGGTCATTCTGCAGCAGCACGGCAGCTGTGCGAGTATCATCATTGCGGGCTGCAATGTGCAGGGCGGGCAGGCGGACCTTACCCTTTGTCCCATAGTTTATAAGGTGAGCAACCACGTTCTCATGCCCTTGCTGCAGAGCCACAGCTAGTGGCGTGAAGCCGTCCTGCCAAGGAGAGGCAGGTGAGAGGGGGAGAGCCAAGGAGCCATGGCAGCACCTGGCAAATTCAACAGCAGCCCCAACACGCAGGGCCCTCCTAAAGGATCTCACCTCTGTGGCTACATTCTGGTTGGCTCCATTTTCCAGCAAGAACTTGACAACTTCCAGGTGGTTTTCCTGTGCTGCCATGTAAAGTGGTGTGAAGCCTTTCTGCAAACACAGGGACATGCACATCAACACAACTCTTCAAGTTTCTCAAGCTCCTTGCAGACCTATACCCCATCAACACCCACACACCCAGCTCATTTAACTGGGGCAAAAGCATACACAGTGTGGGTGGGAAAAACTCCCAACAGTGGCGAAATTCTAGAGAGCTGGATTCCAAGGCTCCCCACACCCAGAAAGTACCAGGGGCTTCTTCACAACAGTAGACCCAGAAGACACTGCCTTTCACTCACTACCACTACTCTTTCTTGCTTCAGAGATGTTTCTCTCATCGGGCAACAGCTGAGGAGCTTCCAGCCCCACCAAGCCCAAGAGAGAGAGGATGAAGGAGGCACAGTGTGCAGAGCTGCATGGTTGCTGAAGACCTCATGGCTGTGCCATGGAGGCATTGGCCCTGAGTCTTCCCAGGATGAGCTCAGCATGCTTGTGCATGCTGCCATGGACTCCCTCGGCAGAGAGACCATCTTGCCCTCCACCATATCCCTCAAAACTCCCTCCCACCACTTGCACACTCTTCTTTCAGGAGTCTGGCAGCACAGTCCTGGCCTCTGAACAGGACTGGAGAGAAACTACAGGGCTGCTGAAATGCAGTTGGGCACAGTTCCCACCGTGAGGACATCATCATCATGCACACTGGATGCTTTTCCCTCCCCAGCTCATGTCACTCTACCTGTGACTGTGCATTGACGTTGGCCCCATAGTTCACCAGTTCCCGCACCACATCCTGTTGTCCAGCAAGGGCGGCAATGTGAAGGGCTGTGTTTCCCTTCTGAAAGACACAACAGAGCAGAGCTCAGGGGCTGGAGCAGCCTGGGATGCTGGGGGAAGATGGCCCTGACATGTGTTAACACACATGCAAACAGAGCAGTTCGCCAGGGGAAGCCTGTGGGGGCTGTTCAGCCCTTGCTCCGTGCTCCATCCCTGCTATAAAACTAGGCAGGTACCCTTCTCATTTGCTGGCCAGGGAAGAGAATGACTTCATCTTTCCTGTGAAGGTACTGGCAGCAAGAGCTGTGTGCATTGTCAGGCTCTGTGTATCTCCAGCACCAAGCACTGAGGAGGGGAAGGAGAGGGAGCTGAGTTGGCAGCCTTCAGGCAGAACTGCAGCGGGACCCCTGATGGCCAAGGCATCCCAGAAGAGCTGGGAGAGAAGCAGGCTGGAAAATGCAGACACAGGCTCTTCCGACTTGTGCCTTTGGGTGGTGCGGCAGAACGCCAGGCTCTGCTCTGCCTGAGCCCTGCCCGAGCACCGGGGGAGTGGCGATCCAGACCCCTCCTGCTCTCACAGCCCGGCAGACGGAGCTGGAGGATGCTCATTTGTCAGCCCTGCTTGCTCGCACCGTGTTCTCACTTGTCACGGAGAAAGAACCACACCCCGCAATGGTGATGCAAGGAGAGAATGACATGTTATTTTCGGAGCACTGGAGCCCTCCAGGCTTGCGACAAACGGTACCAAGGCCACCTCAGTGCTGCAGCACGCAGGGGCTCCCTGGGACAGCGAGGGCTGACCTGAGCTGGCAGCCAGTGCCAAGAAGAGATGCAGGTACAGACAGCACTAGCACGTGTTGTGGTTTCTGTTACTCCCCTCTTGAGCTCACAGCAGCTGCCATGAGCCCCCAGGGTGCAGAGGAACCTCTCACCCACCTGGAGGTGCCCAGCACAGCTCTGATGGTGCTGAAATCAGAACTTGGTCCCCAGGCCCCAGCCGAGCAGCTCTGCCACCAGCACAGCCCATCCAAGGGCTGACAGCAAACAGGGTGATTCACTGCTCAGCTACTGCTGGTGTCTGGCAGCAGTGGCAGGGTGTGGAGTAATGATTAATGTGAGCAGACTCTCTTGTCCTTACCTTGGTGGTTGTCTCCAAAACGATCTCCTTGTGCAGCAGCTCCACCACCATTTTCACGTGGCCCTCCTTGGAGGCCAGGTGCAAGGCGTTCAGCCCGTTCTGCAGGGAGCAAAGAGGGGAGAGGGGCATTAGTCATCTCTTGGGGCTGAGGTTCTCTGGGTGCCCTTTTAGCATCCCTGTGCTGTCAGCAGGAGGTGTCAGGCCAGTCAGCACCCCAGGGACTGCTAAGATAGCTTCTGTTCCATTATTTCTGACGCTGTGCTCCGCTTCACAGATGTGAACCACAAGGCTGGGATATTTGCAGGCAAAGAAGTTGAACACTTGCAGGCATTTTCAGATGTCACCTTTTCCCCACAAAGCAAACTTCCCATGTCCCTCACTTCTCCCAGGTGGATGCACTATGTTTACTCACCCCTACGCAATGCAGCCATGTGGCAGAGAGACACCAGCTCCCTGGGAGCACACAGTCCTGCCCAAATACTCCACCTCCCAACCATCTGTTTCGGCTCCTGTAAGTACTGGAAGGTCACTTCACAGAATTGCTTAATACCCCCCAAACTAGGTAGGGGAACAGAAAATGTCAGGTGATACTCCAGTTCCAGCTCTCAATGCTCCAGTTAAACCTAGAACAGCTTCAGGAGTGTTACCATACTGGAAAATGGTTTTTCACCCTCTCTCATCCAAAGAACCAGCTATTCAGGATCATAGCCAAAGAGTCACGGATTCTTTTGCTCAACTCTGATTACATCACAAAGAGCAAAAACCTAAAAATCCACAGGTTTCCTCAGAACACTAGCTCCAAAGTCCCTAGAGCCTCAAGCACAAAAGGGTAAATGAAGGGAGAATGCTGCAACACTCACAGAACAGAGCCACCAAAAGGAAACACTCCCAAACCAGGCCTGGCTGAACTGAGTCCGTCACCTCAGTCAAGCCCAGCTTCTTTGACCAAGACACATGTACACATCTCCATCTGGTTACAGACACCCTCACCTGCATGAGCTCACAAGTCGGGGATGTGGCCACAGACACACGGGCTTTTTCTCAGTGACGCTCATACAACAAACACCTGGAGTGCAAGGCCACAGATGCTCAGTGTCTCTCCTCAGCACATATGCCCTTTTACGCAAGGGATTCATAAATAAGCTTTTGAATGCTGGAAACCTGTGAGGAATCATTATTCTCTGGCCTTACAGCATCAAGCGCAATGTTTGCAGAAGATAATTTCCCAGCGGCACATTGATATTTCTGCTCCAACAACAATACAGGCTGGTTTGCTCATTTGCTTTGGCTTGACAGCTCCTCTGACCCAAAACCACCACAGGATGTGCTTAATTAGAAGGGTGCTGTATCCCCCTCTCTAAGTGCTGCAGATGCTTCCCAGAAATCCCAGTTGCTGGCTGTCAAAGTGACAAATGCTGCCGTACAGAAAAACACTAAAAGATGGAACTTTGCACTTGGCCTCTGCCAAAGCAGAGCCCTGCTCTGGATGACCCATCAGGACTGTGACCAGACTGTGAATCCCTCCTGGCTCCCATGTGCCAGCACAGCACTGTTCCCTGCTGGTGAGGGTCCTGGCAGCTCATCCTCAGGCCTCCAGCACCTCATGGATGAGATGGGAGCATGCAGAAATGTGCAACACGAGAGTGGTGGATGATGAAGACACTGATGCAGACTGCAGCAATGAAGGGGATGAATGGCAGTATGAAGATCAGATGGCATGTCAAGGTCTCTGCACTTGAGTAAGAATACAGGGCCTGTGAGATAGGTCTGACCACATATATCCCTCTTTATTCTATACAGGACATGTGAGGTTGGACCTATCCCACAGGTCTGATATTCCTCAGAAGCAAACCCCAAAGTGCCATCTAACCTCAGGGAGATGGCAAGAACCAGAGCAAAGACATCACTGAGGGACGTGTCTCATACTGCTGTAGCCATGTGCTCCCATCAAGGTGTCAAATCAGCACCATTTAACAGCACCAAGGTGTTAAATGGCAGTCCACAGCACTTCTTTTGTCTCACCCCCAGATGATTCACCAGGAGCCAGGCACACCAGGTGCAGGAGGGGAGCTTCTCCCACTGTTTTTAAACTTCCACTGCCAGGCAACGATTTACCAGCCAATTTATAACCTGCTCCATGACAGGTAGGATGACAGGATCAGGGCAGATGCTCCCAATCAGCTACACAGAGCAGTGCAAGACAGCAAGGGGAACCTCCCTGCCTCCATCCTATGGAAGCAGGGTAAAGAAGGGGTGCTATGACTGTCACTGGGCCTGGGGGACCCACTGCATGCACTACAGATGGTACAGAAGCCCTGTGGGTTTCACCTACCTGGTTACAGGTGTTAATATCTACCCCATTCCTGAGGTGATCCAAGGCTTTGTCCAGATTCCCGGATCTTGCAGCTCTCAAGAAACTGGTTGCAGCATCAGCCTTGGGGAAAAAAAGAAAAAGCATGAGACTCAGAGTCCCTGTGATCTCCCCCATCACCAGCATGGGGCCAGCTCTTCACTTGCTTGCAGAGAACATTACTACAGAGACCAGGCAGAAAAGGCAGAGGCTGGGCAGATCGAGGTGGCAACTACTGGGACAGACTGAGGTACCCTAGATTGGACAGGAAGAAGCAGGTCTGGGACCTGGACTCACAGTGAAGAGTATCCAGATGGGCAGGAGAGCCATGCAAGGTCTGCAGCTCATCCCAGCCAGGAAAGCAACAACTCTTTTCTGTCAGGAACAAGGTCCCTCCCTGCACCACTAAAACAGACCCACCCAGGCAAGGCACCACTACTTAGCAGCATAAGGCAGTAAACAAAGACCATGGGATGGCTCACAGACTGGAGAACAACAGGGTGGAAATGCAGTGACATGGCTCTGTAAGGCTGGCACCTCGGGCTGGTGGCCTGCCTGCTAGGTCCAGCCCGAAGAGCTCTCTGCAGCAAAGAGCCATGAGGTGCCCATGGAAAGGGCACAGGATGTGCTCCTCTGCCTTCAGCTCCAATAGTATATCAGGAGCCCTCTTGTACCACTCACAATGGGACTGACAAGGGACTTTCTGTGCTACAAGCGCCTACAGCCATCCCAGGCCATCCTGTAGTGCTCACAGCCTGGCTGTGGAGGAGCACAGAGCATTAGGGTGCTCCTGGACAGGAGCTGGAAGCAGCACAGCCACAGAGGACAGCCCTGGAGGCAGACGTAGGCAGGATGATGCATCATGTGGGTCCAGGGCTCCTCTCTGCCCTTCTCTTTGCAGCCTCAGCCATTCAAATTTGGGCTTTGGAGCAGCACAGTTTGTCTGTCTTCTGCTCTCCTCCATCCGCCTCCCACAGCCCACCCTTTCTGCCCAACCCTGCTTCTTCTTAGTTTGTTCCTCCCAGAAAATCACTGCCATGTCCTGGGCCCACCGCTCTGCTGCACCCTGCAGAAGGAAGACCCCACAGACAGGGTGTCCTGGCCCCCCTTGTGCCCCGCAGAGCCCAGCCCAGGCTCCCGTAGCAGCGTCCAGGTGCCATGTCCCCTCAGGGGCTGCCCTGGGGGCAGGAGGACAGGTGTTGGGGGGCAGCACCCCCGTGCCCCATCCCACTGCGCAGTCTGCACGTGCAGGGGGAACACGCGCTGATCCCACAGGTCTGGTGCCAGCTGGCTCTGCTGCCTCCCACCTCAGAGCAGAGCCCTGTCCATCTGGGAGGAGCCCTCGTCACAGAAGAGCTGCCAGCTTTGTGGAGGGCTGTGAGCACAGAGGAGACACAACATGATCAGTGCTCAGCTCTTATGGGATCACCTGCCATATGAGGCAGAAGGCAGCATCAGCACGGTGCTTGGAAGTGCTCATTTGCACCCTGAGCCTTGCCTGCTCTCTGGGATCTGGCAAGGAAACACTGACAGCTTCAAGCAGCAGGTTGAAAGCAAAGAGCTTTTCTGACTCCAGACCCTGCTAGAAGCCTCTGTATGTCGAGTCAGGATCAATGACAGGGCAGCACCTCAACTATGCTGCCAGCATCCAGCCACAGCATGGACCTTCGACAGCAAAGCCAGACTCTGACACCCACGAGACACACATGGAGCTGCTACGACTGAAACGGTAAAACCCTACAGGCACCAGCAGCAAAGGGGCTCCCAAAGCCCCAGCACGCCCAGCAGCAGAGGCCACAGGCAGAAAGCAAGCAGAAAAGCAAAGCAGAGGTCCCTGTGGGCATGAAGAAGTGCATGGTATACTCACAGCCACTCCTGGACTGGACCTGCCCTTCCGTGCTGCCATAGTTCAGCACTTCAGCTGAAACCTGAGCCTGGTGTCCCCTCTCCCTCCTTGGTTATCTACTCCCCAGCTTTGAGAGAGCCAGTAAGTTGCATTCTATCTAAAAATACAGGCTCCTTCCTTGCTCCAACGTAGACCCTGCAGGGATCGCCAGCCACTAATGGAATTTGTTCATTTTCTCTCTATTATTGTGTCAGACAGGATATTTAATACCAAGTTGCCTCCAGAAAGCTGATGACTGCTGCCAAGTGCAGGGAGTGGGTCGGAGCTGCAAGTGCCACCTCGGGAACCGCAAAGAGCAGCCCCACAGACACGTCCAGGAGCCTGGAATTTCACAGGTAACACAGGCCACAGAGGAGAGAGCTCGCTGTTCTCTCCCAGCCCTCGGGACGCTGCGGGCCAGGGCCTCAGAGAATGTGTGGAGGCTTGAGTGGTTCAGAGGCAATGCCCTCCTGCTCCCCTTGCTCAGGATGCACTTTTCAGGGATGCAGAGAGATGCAGGACATCAGACACCAGCAGTCAGACAACACATGCAGGCAGAGAAGACAGGTTAGCCCGGCTCAAATGGTAAAAGCCAAGGAAATAGTTCTGCACTCACATTGCCCTTCTGATATCAGTATGCCTGTTGGGCCTGCCTGCCTGTAACTCAGGGGACATTTGTTCACAAGAGCTCACTGTACTTTGGGATGTCACAGAGAGCAAGACAAGACTAGATTAGCCAGGGAACTGAAGAACAACTGGGTCACTGCCAGACCCTGAACAAAAGGGAGCACGAAATGCAGAGACCCTATGGACACAAGCAGATGTGCGTATCAAAAAGATACACACTCACATCCCAGTCAGCAAAACTCCCCGTGCCTGACCCCAACACGCTCACATTGCACAGTTACCATTCACCAACAAGCACAAAGCAGAGCTTGGGCAACCTACATGTAGTCTCTGTATTTGTACACATGCCCGCAGTCATTTGCTATCCGTGTGCCCCAGGATGTACAGCAACTGCTTCCAGATGCAGAGATTGCCTCTCCTGGCTTTCCTTTCTTTGGCATTTGCAGCAGTTATTTCCATTCTCCTTTGTCTTCATAGCAATTTCTAAGGAAGGAGCTATTCCAGGGGAGAAAATAAACTGCCTCCCTTGCCACTGTGTACCTCTTGCATGGCTGTCATGCTCCATGTCTTGTGGACATTCAAGCTGTGAACTGTCAGGAAGTTGCTGCCAGCAATTCCCTGAGGGAGAAGCCTCAGATCTAGAACTTGCAAAGTGCTCCAAGACCTTCTACTGTAAAAAAAAGCACAGCACATCAGACTGTGTTTCTTTTCTCCTTCTCTTTCTTTTCTTTTAGGTAAAGCTGCCCTTGTCTGCTGAAATTTTAGATTTTTCCCTTTCCCTCTCCTGGCCTCGATTAGTGGCTTCTCTTCTATTCACAGGTGCCTTCCTGCTCTCACAGCTTCAGCCCACACAGCGTTACTGCTGCTGGATGAATGTCCTAACCCCTTCACCCTAACATGAGAAGCCTCGACCTGACCAAGCCCGTTGTACTGTAGCCGGCAATAAGCAAAGAGGAAGTTCTGCAAAACCAGAGGCTCAGGCTGGATATCAAGGGTTGCAGTCAGAGGTTCAGTAATCCTGCTATGTCTTCTGGCTGGGGTTAGAGTCCTGCTCTAATCTCTTCTGGCAGTGCCTTGCTCTCACTCCCACCCAGGGAGGAGCTCCCACCAGCTCCTCCTGCACATCAGTGATAAAGTAAGGGAGGATCCCAGAATTGCCTCCTTCTGCGAAAGGTGGCCACATTTGTCCACAGCCCATCTGAACGAGCTGCTAAATGCTGCAAGTAGGTGACTCCCAAGTGCAAATGAGTGAAGGGGCTTGTGCTGATCTCACAGTATTTTCTGGGACACAAAGACAGGCAAGAAGCAAGTTGCCACACTGTTCCAGACTGGCAAAGTACACCCGTGCATCCTGCTACACTGCTGCCTCTACCCTGTCTGCCCACTTGTCTCTTCTATCTGCAGGTCTTCTGCTGGAGCAACAAGGTAGCCTGAAAAGGGATTAGGACCCCTCAACATTCATATCACACCCAGCATGAGGAAGGGCTGAGCTGGCTTCTTGCTGAGGAGCTCCAGAGGAGGTAGGACCCATTTTCTGCAAGGATGTACACACAGGTCTGTGGGACTGCCTGGGAACGCATCCTGGACAGGGCCAAAGATGCCAAACAAAGGGCCAGGGTGCCCTTTCCAACAAGTCTCTGCCTCCAACAGTCCCCAGAGAGCAGCTTTGCCTGTGCTGCACAACTACATAGCAGGTAGGTGTGGGCAGGACACCTACCAGAGGCTGCCAGCCTGGTTCCTGGCACCAAACCCACATATTGCTATGGGCATCCTACCTAGCCAGTGTGGAAAATCTAATTCACATCTAGGAGGTCTTCTAGTTACCTCCAGTTGCTAGTGCCAGGGTGCTGGGCATGATCCTCACCTTTGAGATATTATTTCTACCAGAGACAGCAACACCTTGCATCAGTGTAGTGGTTTACTTTTAAGCAAGTGCCCAACCTTGGAGTTTCTCTGGAGCCAGAGCTCATCTGGATCTCCCTACCTTGCTGACAACCCTTGCATCACCATGCCCAGGTCTGCGGGTGATAACTTGGATCCTTTCTCATCAGATGGGAAAAGTATGTCTGTCCTAGAAACACACTAAAACAGCTGCCAAAGAGCAGTCAAAGATGGCACCAAGGGTCTCTCTAAGATGATCAGGGAAGATCAGGAACATTTAATTGGAGATTCAACTCAAAATACAAAGAAACAGAAATCACTCTCTGCCTTACAGGAACCTTCTCTCCTACCTGTATTCACTAAAACTTGACACTCTCAGTGGCCCCCACAGCAGAAACAAAACCTACGGGCAGATTTCTGCCTTCTGAGAAGACAACAGCATTCAGGGGAGCACAGCATCTCCAGAGAGGCCATAGTAGCAAAGCCTCAGGAAGGCAGTCAGCAGAGCACAGAGGACAGGCTACCAGGCACACGCTGCAAACCCAGATGAAAGAGATATGCAAAAGCATCTGTAAAATTCATCAGATAAAAGGGCACATCCTTATTTCCAAGTTTCACTCCCTAACAACCCTCAGCTCTGCCTACAGGACTTAGGTCAGGTCTGCAAATTTCAATAAGACTGATGAGAGTC